GCCTGGTCCTACACCAACTTCATGGTCATTGGTATGCTTGAGTCCATTATATAGATATAATGACTAAAAATTCTTCAAAATATTCATTTTGTTTGACAGGCAGTTAGAGTGGTGAACAGTACACGTTGCCATCAAGTTGATTTCGACTCACAGTGACCCTATAGAACAGAGTAGAACTGCCCCAGAGGGTTTCAAGGCTGGTGGATTCAAACTGTCGATCGTTTTGATTAGCAGCTGAGCTCTTAACCATTGCACCACCAGGACACTGGATTGTAATTCCCTCAGTATTATTTTGTGAAGGAGTCCCTGGGTGGCGAACTGCCAATCTTTCGGTTGGTAGTTGAGGGCTTAATCCTTTGAGTCTTGGGTGCTGGGGAAGGTGACTCTACTCCCAGGGATAAACCAGGGGTAAATCCTGCCTGATTACTGTGAGATAATCATGGTAATCTCATTTCAAGTGCCACTGAAGGGTTTGGTAATAGATATGTGTCATATAGGAATAGATCCACAGTGAAGACTTGTTCAGAGTTCGAAGGATAAAAACTTTTTGAAATCAAGGCTACTAAAAGCCTACATGTGACCAGAAAACATACAGAGGGAATCATATATCTCACTCTGGTAGCTCATGATTTGTTCAGCTAGCTCTACTTTTATATTCCTCCTATTCACTAGGATTCTTTGGCAGCAAGCAACAGAAAGGGATTTGGGCCAACTTAAGGAAAAAGGACTGTATTACAGGGATACTGGGATCTCACAAAACCAACAGAAAAGCAATAGGACCAGGATTGGAACAGACAGGAGCTAAGACAATGCCAGAGGACAAGGAAGCAGGAAGCAGAATGACTTCACAGCAGGAATGTCTGGATCAGGGGTCAATGAATAAACACCATTCATATAAAATCACTCACATTTCTTGATTCTTATTCTAAGTCTAAGGTGTTATATTGCCCAAGCTTAAGTCACATCACCACCCAGTGGGCTATACGTCAACAGTGAGAGAAAGATCTGGCTCCTTCAGCCAGATCTAAACAGGAATCTGGACGTACTGTTCCACCAAGACTAGTTATATTATATATGTGACTGTCTGTGTGTATGTTGGGCAGCCCAAAGGACACAGGCATTCTATAAGGGAAGGGAATATAAGTGTTGACCGGCCAAAAAATGTGACATAGTCAAAATTTCCAGAAGCTAATGTATACTAGTACTATATTGATGAATGGAGCCTTGGTAGCACAGTGGTTAAGAGCTACGGTGAACTACAGCTGCTAACCAAAAGTTGGCAGTTTAAATCTACCAGCTGCTCCTTGGAAACCCTACGGGGCAGTTCTACTCTCCTATGGGGTCGCTATGAGTCAGAATCGACTGGATGGCAACGGGAAAATATTGAGGAATGGGAGTAACGAAAAAAGTGCCAATTCTGTCCATGAAATAATAAGGTTGACTTTCAAAGGTACTTTACAAATCATAAAGAAAGATGAGATTGTTGTTTGGTAGCAACCCTTTACTCAATTCACTAAATTCAACTAAATCATGAATAGTCCTGTAAAACTGTTGGCCACTTTAGACTGATTAACTAAAATTACCCTCAGAAGAGGAAAATTTACTACTGCTGTGGATATTCAAAAGAATATACCACAGGCTTTCAAAATGATTCCAGAAATGCATGATGCAATGGAATCAACTGAATTAAATGCACAGATCCCAAGGTTACTATAGTATCTCAAAGGGAACAAGACTTCTTATTTGGATATATTGATTTCCAATGTCCTTGACAAAAGTGCAAAACGAAAAACACTCTACACCTTGCTGTTGAACAAAAATAATGACAAATTCTACTTAGTTGTTGTTAGTTAGTTGCCCTTGAGTCTCTGACTCGCGGCGACCTTATGTATAAAACCCATTGCCATCAAGTTAGATGCTGACTCATAGCAACCCTATAAGACAGAGTAGAACTGCCCCGTGGGGTTTCCAAGGCTGTAATCTTTACGGAAGCACAGACTACCACGTCTTTCTCCCATGGAGCAGCTAGCTGGTGGATTCAAACTTCCAACCATCAGTTAGCATTGCCCAATATACCACCAGGGCTCCTTCATCTTATGTATAGCAGGGCAAAATGTTGCGTGGTCCAATGCCATCTTCATGACTGTTGGTATGTTTGAGTCCATTGTTGTAGCTATTGTGTCAAAATTCTACTTACGTTAATAAAATTAATAATTAAAATTACAATTTAAAATGAAAAGTACAGTAAACAAGTACCAGAAGAAGTTAAACAAGACTTAGCAGTTTAGAGGCTCAAAGGGGTCTACAACATGGTCCAACTAAAAAGAGAAACAGAAGAGTCTTGAAATTGCAGGAGAGTGACTCCATTTGCCTCCATCCTGTGACTCCTAATAAAGTTCAGTGCTAATGACAGGCTTCTTCCTTAAAATTTCTTGTCAGATACATCACCGATGACACTACACATGCACTCTAAAAAAGGCATCGCATTCTTTAAGGATCCTTTAGAAAGATGCTTCCTCACAGAATTCAAAACAGTTGCTGTAAATGGTACTTTGTTAAAGAAGGACTGCTTTCCACGTAGAAGTAAATGTTCAAATATACCGAGTATAATACCCAACTCCAGAATCTTCGATTTCTCTTAATACTATGACTTTGCTTACTTGTCCTTCAGGTCTCAGCATAAGGACCTCCTTCTCTATGGCCACAGACTAGGTTAGGTGCTGGATTAGTTTCCCAGTGCTGCTGTAACAAAATACCACAAAGCACATGACTTATAAAAACAGAAATTTATTGTTTCACGATTCTGGAGGCTAGACATTCAAATCAATGTGTTGGTTGGGCCATGCTCTCTGAAGGCTTTAGGGGAAGATTCCTTCTTGTTTTTCCCAGCTTCTGGTAGACCCAGGCATTTCTTGGCTTGCAATTACAGCAGAAAACTCTGTCATCACATAGCCTTCTTCCTTCTGCCTGTGTCTCTTCTCCCCTTTCATAAGGACATCACTCAGACTGGGTTAGGATCCACTTTACTCCAGTATGACCTCATGTTAACTGATAACATCTTCAAACACCCTATTCCCAAACATGGTCACGTTCACAGGTACCAGGGGTTAGGACTTAAACATATCTTCAACATATCAATAATTCATTCCACAATGAGTGCATTTCCTTTATGTTCTTACAGCATCATAGCATTTCAGTCATTGGATACGGTACTAGGGTATTTGCCTCTGCTTCCTCTTGAGCTCCTTTAGGACAGAGATAGTGGTCTTTGCATCACTGACACCACAGCACCAGCACAAAGTAGGCACTCAGTAAACATTTGTTGAATAAGTGAATGGATGTTTCTTTATAAAAGTAAAAGCCATACTTGTGCCCACAATCTTTCCCCTCCTATTATCAAAACAAAATCTAAAGGATCTAGAGTACAATAGGGATTAATGAAAGAGACATTCAAGTTACTTCTTCATATGGACTTCTCCTAGAGATGATCCTGAAATTCATATTAATTTCAAGTTAACATCATCTGTCAGTGAGTGAAATGACCAGAGGATAATGAGCCACACTATGTTTTTAATTAAGAAAAAAATACATATTGTTCAATTGATACAGTAAGGAGGATCCCACAGTGAGTCCACTTTTACTCAGTGGGGCTTGACAGCTACCACAAAATCTTTCCAAGGCTTTCAGTTTCATTTGGTCTCCTTTAGCCTCAGGAGTTCTTACACAGTACACATTTTCCACATGTAATTATGTAATGGAGAGTGAGTTGTTATACATGACATTTAATCTTCCATAGTGAGGAAGGTACGACAAGAGCTGCGGGTGAGATCATTAATCTTCTTGGATCCCTGACCTGCCAAATATAGCGATTCATTCTTCATCGTATTAATATAGCTCTCCTCCTGTACTCAGATTGGTGTGCTCATGTACAGGGGATAATGCTGAACAGAAAAACCCAATAGAATTGAGTTTGTGATGCATAGCAAAGACAGGACCTAGATTGTAATATACATCTGGATGATTCAGAGTTAAATAATCTAATATATTGGAGTCCATATGTTTAGGCCACAATTTACAGAATTGTTCAAATTCTAAGCATGTGAAAAGAAAAAGGGAAAAAAGTAATTATGTAAGTCATGAATATATAGCAGCAACTTGCTAATTTGCACTAATGACTCACAGGTCTCTTGTGAATTACAGATCAATTAGTATATGAATAAATATAAGTGTTAAAAAAATGACAAGGACGCGATCACACAAATGTACATTGCTATAGACCAAAGGCCCTAGTTTAATTAAAATGTTGCTTGCAGCATATTTTAATAGCTTTCTGTGATTACTACTAATCATACTGCCAAAACGTGTGGCTAGTTCCTATTTTTATCTCAATTGTCAGTAAATTTGAAAAGAAGAGTTGCTACGGTATAACGAAAACCCACTGCTGTCAAGTGGATTCCAACTCATAGTGACCCCGTATAACAAAGTAGAACTGTCCCATAGGGTTTCCAAGGCTATAAATCTTTATGGATGCAGACTGCCACTCTTTCTCCTGCAGAGCAGCTGGTGGGTTTGAACCATCCATCTTTTGGTTAGAAGCTGAGCATTTTAACCACTGTGCCATCAGGGCTCCCTCTGCCAAGGTATAAAAGCCAGAAATTTCTGTATAATGGAAAGGCACAAAGACTCTAAAATTTCAAGTAGGGGAAGAAGTATTGCCAAACAGAAGCACTCACTGTTTTATGAAAACTAGTCTTTAAAGTAACATTACAACACAGTATAAGTTATGCTGAGTTTAAAACAAAAGTATAACCAAAGCTTATTGTGCTAAGATGACTAAAAGTGTTAACTTCCTGAAACTTGATAACAAATCAATTTTAACTGCTTCAGAATTTGGTCCCCAAATAGCCAAAGTTAAGGTTCTGGTAACAGTAGACTGAAAAACGTACTCTACACGGCAGAGTTTGAAAGATGTACCTAAATGAATAATGAAATAGACAATCAGCCTAAATGAGAGGATGAAATGCTGGATAGCACCTAAAGTGACAGGTCATCATGCGTGAATAGGGCACAAGTCTACCAAATTATTCTGCAGGTGATGGACAGATGGGGTGAGCAATAAAATATTTCCTACATTTGCTTTCTTTGAATGCTTCGTATTCTCACACTTTTTGATATTATTTACCTCCAAAAATCTATTACAGGTACTTTTTATTGACATGGGGATTAATGCATGTTTATTAGATTTCTCTCTATACATTCATTAATTAGCACTAAATTCCTTGCTAGGAGCCCTTGTGGTGCAGCAGTTAAGAGGTAGGGCTGCTAATCAAAAGGTTGGCAGTTCGAGTCCACCAGCTGCTCCTTGGAAACTCTATGGGGCAGCTCTACTCTGGCCTATAGGGTTGCTATGAGTCAGAATCGACTAGACGGCAACAGGTTTGTTTTGCTTTGTTTTTAAATATTCCTTGTTAAGGACCCTTGGTGGAACAGTGCTTAAGTGCTCGACTGCTAACCTAATGGTCTGTGGTCCGAACCCACCAGACATTCTTCGGGAGAAGGATATGGCAGTCTGCTTCCATAAAGATTACAGTCTTGGAAACCTCATGGGGAAGTTCTACTCTGTCTTTAAAGGGTTGCTATGAGTTGGAACTGACTTGATGGCAATGGGTTTGGTTTGGCTTTTGGTATATTCCGTGTTAGTATACCAGGTCATCAGAATTAAAAAAAGACACACTGAGAGGGAATTTAAAGAGATATTTTCAGGCAGGCTCTGTCCATCTCTCTTATTCTGAAATTTTCCAGTAATGGTTTTACATAATGTCCCATAGGTATCTCTCCGAATGCTTATTCATTATAATGGTAATTAAAGCATTCTTAAACTGTGAATTTGCTTCACTTAAAAAAACATTATGGAATTAGTATATATCTGGGAGTGATTCCTTTTTACTTTTCTTCCTCTTTCCTTCTCCTTGACTTCTTCTTTCTGTTTTATCTTTTATCTTCACGTTTGTCCCTCCCTTTCCACCTCTGGTCCAACATCATCATCATCATTGCAGCAAACACTGTTGAGCTCATATTGCCAGGAATACATATGTGCTAATACATAACATTTGTAGACAGCTCGAGAGATAGCTACATCATCACCATGTTAAAGACCAGGAAACTGACAGAGCTGGGATTAAGCACAGGCTGGGTGAATCCATGGTTTCTTCTTTTAATCACTAAGCCTCATAGTTCAGCCTTGCTTTAGTAAAGAATTTGTATCTAACGGAAACAGTTCTTAGTCAGATGAATAGGACCTTGCCTTATGGAAATTAAAGCATTAATAAATTAATAAAATAACCGCACATAAATTACCAGACATGTCTACTGAATCAAAGAAAGACTGTCAGCAGAGCAAACATCTCTCTTGATTCAATTTAAGCTCATTTTCCTTTGTACAGTCTAAAATTGGACACAACAGTAGATTGTTCAGAATCATTCCTACATATTTTTTTCTCCCAATAAAATAAGATATAAAAAATCTTCCTTATTCAGATTATTTGGGAAAGATGTAGGGAGAGGGACTGAAGTATGATGAATTTGTCAAACTCACTTAATATGATTGCTACCTTTGGAAAATACAAGAATCTAGAATTGCTTAGAAGGAGCTGAAAGGAAATTAATTCAATAAAGCTTTCCGAATGCCCACCATGTGCTAAGTACAATAATTTAATGACCATGCAAGAAAGGTTTACAATTAGATTATGAATTTTAAATATACATTAATACTTCTAAATTGCTTAAAATCACTTGCAGTAAATAAACATTTGCAATATCCTCAATATTGTTTACAACATTTTTTTTTGTTTACTAAACAAATTCTTTCCTTTATTCTGCTCCCTTCTGAACAATCAAAATAGAAATCATCAGAAACTAAATTAACAGGGCTTTACTTCTATTTTTAAATTTCTACTCAGCATTCTCTTCTGTATTCTAAATAATTTCAAACCATTAACCTTTGTTTATTGAAGGAGGAGGGTTCTATTTCCCAACTGCTTAATTGTATTAAATGATTTCCTTTGGATCCTATTCAATTTTCTTTCTGCTGTCTTTAAAATGGGATGACCCAGCATGAGCAATAAATGTCCCACAAACACTGAATGAAGTGGTAATAGTAATGTTAATAACAGTACTTGCAGCAACAGCAGCTGCCATGTGCGAATGTTTATGTCCAGGCCCTGCAGTCAGTGCCATATACATCTTCTCATACTATGCTCATACACCCCTGTGGCAGGGGGCAGGGGCAGGTAGTGCCGTTTTCTTTTAAAGAAGAAGAAAACCCAGGCTCAGAGCTGAAATATAACTTGCTTAAGGTCATTGAGGCAGAAAAGTTTTTTCTAAAGGTTTATGTTTGGTAATTTTCCGGGATCACAGTGGTTCTTAATTACTTTGTAACCGAAATACAATACTCTTGCATCCTTTCACTGCCCAGCCTTCTGTTGTACTTAGAGCTAGCAACTTGTATAAGATGTTTTCAGGCCTAAATGCAGTATATGTGTGGATCTGACTCAATGAACACCATCTTAATCTCTTCAGGGTCTGACCTTTACTCAAATCTGTTCATGTTTTCATCATCTAACTGATTTCTGAATCTCTGACAACAGGAGAGGCATGGAAACCAAAAGAGGACTTCAAGGTCAGCAAGCCAGAAGAGGCTGTCTTAATATGCAAAGAGATACAAGAAGAAGGAAGGTTTCTCTCTACGAAAACAACAGTAAAAAACTGGAAAGCCAGGAGCCAAGCAGCAACACCCAATGAGGCTGAAGGGATGATGTGGGAAGAGATATTGCAATCACCTTCATTAGTGCTCATATATGGGAATAAAACTCCCTCTACTCCCAACAGTCCCCTAGGAATGGACAGAAGTTTTTACTGATTAGGAACTGGTGAGAAGAGGAAGAATAATAATGACCATCACTATCATAAAATACCAGCTAACATTTAGCTCTTACTCTATGCCAGGCACTGTGGTGAGCATTTTAGATCTATTAAATTATCACGATTAATGAGTAGGTGTTCTATCGTCAATTTACAGACGATAACTGAGTCACAGAGGGAGAAGAAACAGAGAAACAGTTAACATACAGGATTAGGTAAAGCACCAAAAATTCTTCAGATTTATCTGTCATTTCAGTCAAATAATAGAGAAACAAACGTATTGCTGATGTGACAATTGGCTTCAAACAAACAGGATTTCTAATTCTGATTCATTTATATCATAAGGGCTCAACCAGCTACCAGGTGGGTAAATGTGGAGTCCCAATTAGGGCTTCGAACTGGTTCTTTCAGGTTCGAACCCTTGCTGAGAATTTGCATATCCACTCAAGATAATGCTGAATGAGAATCTACGGTTTAAAAAGTTCCTACAGGTGATTCTTATGTATAATAAAATTTGAGAACTACTCTACTAGTGGAAACCGTGGTGGTGTAGTGATTAAGTACTACAGCTGCTAACCAAAAGGTCAGCAGTTCGAATCCAATAGGCCCTCCCTGGAAACTCTATAGGGCAGTTCTCTACCCTGTCCTATAGGGTCGCTATGACTCGGAATGGACTCTCCATCAATGGGTTTCATTTCTTTTTTTTTACTCTACTAGTGGTTCTCAGAAGTGTTCCCTAACCAGCAGCATTAGCATCACCTGGGAACTTTTTAGAAATGCATATTCTCAGCAGGTGCTCAATCCTGAATGAACCAGTTCGAAGCCCTGGTCCCAAAACACAGCATGATTCTAGACAACAGAACTGACATCTCTTCAACTCTGGATTTTCACTAGTACTCAGTTGTTTTCAGTTGCTGCTTCCAATTCTTTTGGGTACAGAGACTGCACCATTTTACATTCCCACTGGTTCGTTCAGGTTCGAACCTCTGCTGAGAATTTGCATTTCCACCCCAATATAATGAATCAGAATCTGCATTTTAACAAGATCCCTTGGTGACTCTTACATATAATAAAATTTGAGAACCACTGCTCTACTAGTGGTTCTCAGAAATGGTCTCTAACCAGCAGCATTAGCATCCCCTGAGAGATTGTTAGAAATGCAAATTCTCAGCATGGTTTTAAACAGGAACAAACCAGTTCCAAGCTCTGATCTTCTCATCTACTTGTTGGTCATTTGTATATCTTCTTTGGAAAAATGTCTATTCATGTCTTTTGCCCATTTTTTAATTCAGTTGTTAGTCTTTTTGTTGTTGAGTTTTAAGAGTTGACTGTAAATTCTGGATATTAAACCCTTATTTGACATATCATTTCCAAATATTTCTTCCCATTCTGAAGATTGTCTCTTCACTTTCTTGACAATGTCCCTTGATGCACAAATGAAAGTTTTTAATTTTGATGAAGTCCAGTCTATTTTTTCACTTGTACTCATGCTTTTGTTGTCATATGTAAAAACCCATTGCCTAAAATAAGGTCTTGAAGGCTTCTTCTCTACATTTTCTTGTAAGTTTGATAGTTTTAATTCTTATATTTAGGTCATTCATCTGTTTTGAGTTACTGTATACTGTGTGAGGTATGGGTCTTTGCTGCTGTCGTTAGCTGCCACGAAGTTGGACCCCAACTCATAGTGACCTGATGCAAAATAGAACAAAACACTGCCAGTCTTGCATCATTCCCATGATTGGTTACAAATGGAACCATTGTGATACATAGGGTATACACTGGCTGATTTTTGGAAGTAGATTGCCAGGTCTTTCTTCCTAGCCCATCTTAGTCTACAAGTACCACTGAAACCTGTTCAGCAGAGCTTCATTCTTTTGCATGTAAAAATCCAGTTGTCTCAGCACCATTTAATGAAGAGACTGTTCTTTCCCCCCACTGAATAGATTTGGCACCCTTATCAAAAATCAATTGGCCATAGACACAAGGGTTTATTTCTGGATTTTTAATTCTATTCCATTGGTCTAGGTGTTGATCCGTATACAGTACTACACTGTTTTTATTCCTGTAGCTTTGTAGTACATTTTAAAATCAGGAAGTGCGAGTTCTCTTACTTTGTTCTTTTTCTTTTTTCCCTCAAGTTTGTTTTGTTTATTCAGGGCCCCTTGCAATTCCATATGATTTAAGAATCAGCATTTCCAAAAGAGTTCCATTATATTTATATACAAAACAATCAGCTCCAGGACAGGAAGAAATTTCTATAATTTAAATACAAATATTTGCTTCAACTACCAATTCTATCATGTGAAACAAACAAAAAAAATCTCATGACCAAAACAACCTACACTTTTCTTAAAGTAACAAAAAACGAAAACATATTTTTAAATAGACAGTAATTTTGTTAGACAAACCAAAGACGAGATAGTCTTACACAAATAATAACATCTCCAGAAGAGATCGCTGTGATTTTGAAACACCAGATATATCTATCTTACCTAATGAAAACCAACTTCACCTTTGTTGGAGCAGTCTTAATAATGGCAGATGCATTTTGGTGACTTCTTCCATACAGGATCTGATTGTTTATCTGTTTGGGAAAAAAATAAAATAAAATAAAATGCACTTGTAAAAATATACTATAAAACAAGGTACAATAATTGGTCTCTATCCACCTGTACACAGATCAAGAGGCAGTGATTTGAACAGAACAAGAGGATACTGTGTGGTTTAAAGTCAGGAAAGATATGCGTCAGGGTTGTATCCTTTCACCAATTTACTCAATCTGTATGCTGAGCAAATAATCCGAGAAGCTGGACTATATGAAGAGGAACGGGGCACCAAGATTGGAGGAAGACTCATTAACACCCTGCGTTATGCAGATGACACAACCCTGCTTGCTGAAAGTTAAGAGGACTTGAAGCACTTACCAATGAAGATCAAAGACCACAGCCTTCAGTATGGATTACACCTCAACATAAAGAAAACAAAAATCCTCACAAATGGACCAATAAGCAACATCATGATAAACGGAGAAAAGATTAAAGTTGTCAAGGATTTCATTTTATTTGGATCTGTAGTCAACACCCATGGAAACAGCAGTCAAGAAATCAAAAGATGCATTGCCTTGGGCAAATCTACTGCAAAAGACCTCTTTAATATGTTGAAAAGCAAAGATGTCACTTTGAAGACTAAGGTGCCCCTGACCCAAGCCATGGTGTTTTCAATTGCTTCATATCCATGCCAAAGCTGGATGATGAATAAGGAAGATCAAAGAAGAACTGACGCCTTTGAATTGTGGTATTGGCGAAGAATATTGAATATACCATGGACTGTCAAAAGAACAAACAAATCTGTCTTAGAAGAAATACAACCAGAATGCCCCTTAGAAACAAAGATGGCGAAATTAAGTCTCACACACTTTGGACATGTTATCGGGAGGGATCAGTTCCTAGAGAAGGACATCTTCCTGGGTAAAGCAGAGGGTCAGTGAAAAAGAGGAAGACCCTCAACGAGATGGATTGACACGGTGGCTGCAACAATGGGCTCAAGTATAACAACAATTGTGAGGATGGCACAGGAACAAGGAGTATTTCGTTCTGTTGTACATACGGTCGCTATGAGTAGGAACTGACTTGACAGCACCTAACAACAACAAACATCCGCTTGGAGCAACAGAGGAAGAAGGACAGTCAGGAATAGCAAGATGAAATGGAATGTGTGGCTAACTGTCTTCATGAACAACTGCCTCCTCTGCCATGAGACCAGAAGAACTGGATGATGCCAGGCTACCATTACTGAATGTTTTGATGAAAGGTTCGATAGAAGAATCCTGATGAAAAGGGGGGAAATGCAGAGCAGAATTTCAAATTCTCATGGACTTCAGACTTTCTGGAACCACTGAGCTGGATGAACAACAAAACTATTGCCCCGAGACAATCACTAAATCTTAAACCAAAAATATCCCTTAAGTCCTTCTTTAAATCAAACAATAGTTTGGCTTATCTAGTAAAGAATGTGTAGCTTAAGTATTGTGATCTTTTAAGAACTATTTAGATGGGATCAAATTGACAACCGCAACTCAAAAGATTAGATAGGAAACTTTGACAGCATAAAGTTTTTGTTAACAAGGGAGAAACAATTTGGAAAAGGGGGGAAAGAATGGGTGCACAACTGGAAGAATGTAATCAGTATCACTGAACCATACATATAGAAACTGTTGAATTAGTGTATGTTCTGTGTATATTCTCAAAAACAACAAAAAATAAATTTGAAAAATATAATAAATATATTCTTGGAATTAGTCAAACAATAAAATCCATTAATTTTTAGACAAGTACATACGTAGGACTCTCTAATGTGAAAAAATTTCTTAAAATTCATTACGGTATAGATTCAAAAACACTGCAATTCTAAGTAGCTATTAAAAACCTCTTAAATTTAGTTTTGATTGCAGTTAATAAAGATCATACAGTCCTTGACCTTTTCGCTAAATTTCAAGAAAGCAGTAGAGCAAGATGCAAAAACTTTATGATGGATATTACATTTCCTACAGCTTTTCCAGATTCCTGAAATATGTAGAAAACAGATCAAACTGTTGTATTCACCAGAGCTCTATAAGGCCCATTAAACATGATTCTGTAAATGTGTCAAGGTTATTACATAGCATAAATTTTGTTATCCTCAAGAAGGTGAATACTACATCCACATTTTAAGTCAAATTTTAGATTGATTGCACAGAAATGTTTTATTCTACATAATCATGAGCCATCTGCTCATAGGCAAGATGTAACAGGATTTTTAACTTGATGGGATTCATCTAAATATTGTCTAAAAACATTTACATTCTAAATTTTTCATTCCAGATTTTAACACTGACAAACTATGATGAGAGCGGTTAATTGATCTTTCATTTTATTTCATCCAATGGAAAACAGCTAGTACAGTTTTGGCTCTCCATGACCCCACCCCAATCTCTTTAATAAGTAGTTAATGATTTATACAATCTTCTCTAAGGGAGTTCTATATTTAAATGAGGACTCCATAATTTCTGCTATTTAAAGGATATGCTTTTTGTAACCAGCATCTGGTCTGTCAGCGATGTCTCTGAAATTTTGCATTTGAAGACACACCTGACACAAGTTTGAAGACATCGGAAAAAAGGTATCTTCTTCTGTCACAACAGTTATTATGAGAAAGGGTATGGAAGTGAAAACACAGTCTTTTAACCCATCTAAACTGAAGCTCATCCATCACCTTGTCTGAAGCGGTTAAGCGGGGATTGATATCCAAAACTGCTGCAAAAACCAACCTCCGGCTACCTCCTCATTCTTACTCTCATTCTATCAGCTTTTATTTGACACCAAGGCAATCAATCACACAAAAATCCTCTGATGTCCTCAGTTTCTTCTTCTCTAAAAGTGATCAAAGGCCCTACTTCATAAACAGAATTAAATGAGATCACGCTTTTTAATTTTATCGATAGTGATTTTGATAGCCAAAGGACTTTTAATTTTTATGTGTTCAAAACTATCCATCTCTTCTATTAAAGTTCCTGCCTTTAATATCATACATTTAAAAATGTGCCAACCCTCATCATTATATAATTACCCATGTGTATTTTCTCCTAATACTTTCATGGTTTTATCTCTCTTATATTTGCCTTTTCTTACCTTACTCATTAATAAGGGAAGTGGTTAAATAAATCATGTAGCCATTAAAAGTAATGTGAAAAAGCATATTTAGTGCCATAGGAAGTGGTCCAAATGTATTAAATAGCAAAACTAAGTTATAAATGAGTAGGTCTAGCAGGATCACATTTTTTGCTAACCATATTTTCCAATCTCTTTAACATATAATGAACTACAAACAAGGATCTTTAAAAATGAGGTGGTGCATGAATATGCCTGGTATTTAGGTAATTATTTGTGAATGTCTTGCCCTTTGTGCCTAGCCTCTGCTTTCAGAAAACCTTTCCTAAACCACAACCAATTTAATCCTCCTGGTTAAAGCGTGTCCTGATTCTATCAGCTTTTGTTTTTCACCACGATAATCAATCACACAGAAATGCACTGATGCCCTCAGTTTCTTCTTCTCTAAAAGGAATCCAAATACGCACTTCATAAAGCTGTTGTGAAAATTAAATGAGATCATACCTATGACTCTAGGTTTAAAAAAATCTGTCTTAGGACACCTATGCCCCAACATGGCATGTTAGGCAGATAGCACCAGTAGAGGCACCTAATAAACATTTATTGAATTGAGCTAAACTCCTTGAGGGGAGGAACTGGTTTCGTCGTCTTGGTATTCCCCAGCTTTTCACGCATAGCTTGCACAAAATAGTGTTCCATAAGCATATGCCCAATTGTAGAGCTCTCAATGTAAGCGGCACTTAATCAACCCTCTGGGGTGGGCTCCAGCCTTCAAAATGATTGAGATTAAAAGTTGTTTTTTTTTTTTTTTTTCTCAGCAGCAAAAGCTTGTTCATATACAGGTTCAAACTGTTTCATGATTATGGATATGCTCAAACTTTTGCTTTTAAGCTGTGATCCTCCATTTTGATAGAACGTATGGTGCTGTTATTCTAAGAGGGAAAAATTATATCCCACATGAAGAAAGCAGGTCATTAATTTTAATTTACATAAGAGTAAATCTAAAGTTATGTATTCCATGATGCTGTTTCTGACTATTCAGGCTCTCTGGCAGTAGAAACACAAAGCAGCTTGCTTGCTGTTGATGCTTTTTCCAGTGCCAACAACTGTGGTGTTTACTGGTAAAGCAGCTGCTCCTGCAAATGTTCTGTAGCCTCTGGAGAAACCCTGCTGTACAGTGGGAAACTGGGAACAGAGCAAGACACTCAAGACAGAGGGAAACTTGATTTCACTGGATGAAACCTAAAAGGAAAATGCAGATCTCTGGATAAAACAGTCCAAAACAAAGCCTCTTCTCTAGGCTTGAGAATGACACATGAACAGCCTCTGAGTTTCAGGAGAGGTAGCATTCTTTTGTGTTTTCTTACTGTCTTACTTAATATAAAACAATTTCACTATTTAAATGAAAGGTATGGAGCTTCCAACTACATAAGCAGATTTTATATTTCTTCAACACTAATGGAAACACACTCCAGAGCAAGAAAGTAATTCAGTAAGTAATTAGAAAAGAATATGATGTATTCATGCACTATTAACTTTAGACTGTCACTTATTCTATTATTGAGACGCTGTTGTTCTCTGAGGGTCTCTATTCTTTAAACAACAGATGTAGAAGTTTTCCAAGTACAGCGTAGGCCAAAAAGAAAGCATTCCACATCTGCTGGAAGTCTTTCAGGTTAATTAAAATTATTAATGGCTACCACTTACTCAGTGCTTACCCTATGCCGGATACAATGCTAAGCAATTTTTGCACAGTATTTCATTTAAATCTCAGAACAACCAGAGTATAATGTATTATTATTTCATTCAACGGATTAAAAACGGAGCATATGGTGGGTTCAAACAGGTGACCTTTTTGGTTAACCACTGAGCTACCAGGGCTCCTTCTTCAACAAATTAGGAAAGGGACACTCAAAGAGGTTGGGTAATTTGCCCAAGG